TCTAAAGCTTTTGTATTCTATCCATCTGTTCCAATAACTTTTATTACTGTACTTTCCTATAATCCCTATTAACATTTCAACTTCGCGTACTAACCGCATGACGTCTGTACTTTGCTATCCGTCCTAATTGCTATTTTATGAGGGGTTTCTTCGGTGATTTGGGTTCAACAACTTAATTCTATATTTTCTATCTTCAGCATTTTTCAAATCATATTTTCTTATTATTGGTTCCCTTGTTTTATCTACAACCCTTAGCTCCACCTTCATAACTTTCCTAAAGTATTCAAATTCTATATTCTTCAGTTCTAAATCAATCTTCGTTCTACTCTTCTTAGTCTCTAACAGTTGTCAAATAAATATTAGTTTTATCAGATTTTATTATTTTAATATTGAACACGCCAAGAACCAAAAAAGAGAGAAATAGTGTTTTATTATGGGTTCGACAGTTTCAAAAAAAATTTCAGCGAAACTAAAATTCAGCGCTTAATTTAATTCTATTTTTTATTTATGCGACTGTTTGAAATACTTAAAATTCAGTTCATTTTAATTGCAAAAAGTAGCATGTAAAATTAAAACAAAAACTTTCTGCGCAGTAGTTAGTTTGAGACTTCCCCTTCTAGAGAAATATCTAAGTGACATTTAATTTCAACCACTTGGATGCATAAACTGTACATAATAATGAAATGTGCTTATAGCGTTCATAAAAGATGACTTACCAATAGTGAAACAAACATCAAACCTCGTTGACCAAGAGGACCATAAATAATACACCAATACCAATGGTGACCGGAAATCTATATAAATTAAAAACCAAAAGACAATTTCTTAAGTACCTTCTTATTATAAAATAGCTAATGTGACAGAAAGTTTTATAAGAGGAGAATTAAAAATCGAATAGAGTTTTGTGAAACTGAACTAATCGAAATAGAGAATCCAGACGGATATGCAGTTTTGATGAACTTTTGCAGTGCTAGCAATTTTCTCTTTTAACGGATGTTGGTAGCATTGCAGTATTTGAATTCAACCTCAAGGAGGGTGACATAAATTAAACTTTTACTGGAATCCGTAATTTAGGATGACATCCTGGACGTCGAAACGTATTATAAGACCTCTTAATGTTTTATTATGCAGAAATTTCTATAATAAAGTATGATGTATCCCATGACAGGTTACGATATTAGACATTGACAGTCTTTTTTTTATTTGAGAATTACTTAAATGACGCATTTTGTCATTATTATTGTATTTTTTTGTTTGTTTAATAAGTTGGACAGCAATCCTTATTGAATAAGGCTTAGGCAGCACATCATGTTCATGAATCGCTACAGTGGTATACACCGCAGACCGTCTGCAAAAAGCCACTACCTTCAATGTTATTTATTAGCAAAGTAGAGACATTACATACGAAATTTTTATGAATGAACATGACTATTATGTATTGTCTGTGGGTTACAATTTGAGAGCTACATTTTAGTGTCTGTTACTTCATGCATTATTATAATTTTTATTTAAAACTATTCTCATTGAAAATATCATGATGGATGAAAATGGTTTTTATAAACTTGGTATGGGTAATATTGTTTTGGAGAAAAATGTACACTACAAATGAGTTCAGGGTAGTAATAAGACAGATAAGGAAATGAAAACCGAAAATTTATCTAGGTAAACATTAAAGCGATATTTACAATTTATCCTACTAGCCCGTTGCTTCGTAAGCGAAAATAATAAAAATTACAATTTGGACTGGAATTTGTAAAAATGAAATCCCAGCAGTAATAAATTTACTAAATATTTTAGTTGATATTACTAATATTACAGATTAAATTGTAATAATTAGGCGAGATAGGTTGGTAGGACACCTTTTCAGGCATGAAGGTCTAGTCAGAGACATATTAGTGGCAGAAACAGGAGTTAGGAGGGGTAGAGGTAGACCTAGATTAGATTACTGTTCACAAATAGTTAAGGATGTGGGTTGTTCTAGTTTTAGGGAAATACGAGGTTTAGCTCAGGATAGGAAACAGTGGAAGTACGTGTCCAACCAGTCTTAGGCTGACGACCCTATGATGATGATGATGATGAAGATGTCAAAATGGAGATTATTACAAGCTACCTGATAATGTCTATTATTTCTACGGCAAATTCAGTCATTTACAATCGAAAATTGTAATTCTTGCGTTGTCATAGAAAATTAGTTTTGTTAATTTGTACGAAGATTTATTTAATCAACATCATCATCATAAGGCCTTTATCTTGAAGAGTAGTTTGGCACCAACGTCCACTTTTTCCTATTTTGAGTCAATTTTCGCATTTCTCTAAAACTAGAGATATCTACATATATCTCTGTCAACAGTAACTTCTTAACTCTTGTTTTGCGTTTATAAGTTTTTAACAAGCTCTTAATAATGTTTGAGAAGGCGTCCTACTAAAACCTATCCCACCTATTTGTTATTAAGGATGTTTGGGAGGTAAAATCAGAGACAAGAGTACATAAAATTAGAAATTCGTTATTAATTAGGTTTTGCAGCATATCATGAGGTAAATAAATACTATCTATACTAAAAANTGCCTCTTTGTCGCTCGTTCCGCGCTCTCGCTTGCACTTCAAGCCTTAAATGGAACGCCTCAGAGCGAGGTAACGCCGCATGAGTCATGTTTTTTCGTGCGTGCAGCCGGCTCCATCGAATTATAAGACGTTGTCACGTCAAAAAGAATCTTTACTACTGTTTAAAAAAAGACAGATAGGTACAAGAATGTTCACGGAGTAAGTGTTCTTTGTTCCTATGTCTGGATAAAACATGGTTGAAATATAGAAACAAAATAATCCTTTTTCGATATTGTTTACTAAAAGGTCAATTTATATGTTGGAGGAAGGGTCAATCTAAGATAAGTTTTCGAGTTTTCATAACTTTCATAACTATCGACACTATTTTCTTTAAGTCATGACAGAAAAATTCAGCATTTAAGACAATTATTGTGTCGGTGAATAGAAAAATTTGTGATTAAAAGAATTATTAAAAAACGTAAGAATCAGATTAAATGGGCAAGACCAAGACTAGAAGTGTTTGAGGGAGACCAAAACCAAGACCGAATAAGCAAAACCAAGACCAATACCAAGACTGTCCCAGCCTTGGTCGTACTTTTGCTTTGCTCATCACTACTTTAATGACCCTTCATAAGATGTGGTTGGATCCCCTCCCTCTCATGTGATAGGTAGGTACTTACCCGGCTGCCATTGGACACCCTAGAAAAAGAACGAGTAACAATATTTTAATAATTTTTTTATTTTTTGTCGATATATAACAATGCATATTATTTGGATTAAATAGTTGATGTGAGATTTTCAATGGCTCTTCGCTCCCCTTAAATGAGATTTAACGAGGTATCACTGGATTCCCCCTAATAATTTTAGGGCTGACGTAACTAATGGTCTTTAATTGCTCATTAATATCGAAAGATTTGTTTCAATGACGTTAACTTTAACTGATTTAAATGTATTCAACTTTAACTGATTTAAATGTATTTTTTAGATAAGTAGCTATTAACTTTAATGGAAAAGAGTCGCATATATATGGGGTAATCGCTACGTGAAAATATTTTGCTAACTTTTCAATAAATTTTTGAAGTGAAACTTCTTTATGCACGGTCGGGTAAGTTCATTTCCTGCGAGTTGCTATGTAACGAAATCATGCAACGTATGTCTCGTAGTGGGGATCGCTTGAGCCGTGAGCGCGCTTCAATGCAACGTTCGTTATAAACAACTCCGGTATGTATGGTGTAAAATTTAAATTCATAGTGTACAAATAATACCATTAAACCAATTCCTTAACCCCTATCCCGGTAGGTTTCCGTGTTTGAAGAAGTTTCACTGCAGTAGCGTGTTGTATAATTACACGTTTATAGGTTTATTGTTATGAAATATATCAAATTTTATATTTATTTTTTAAAGTTCAATTTTCTGTCAATATTTTTGGGTACGTTGACCATCACAATAAATTGGTTTGTCGGTTTTCTTTTAAGGATTACAAAACAAATATAAGACAACTATTACTATGATTGATCATCAAAAAAGGTGTAGAATTATTAGGGCGACGCGACGAGATTTATTCAAATAAATACCGTGTTTTCCTTCAGATAATAGTAGTATAACGAAAGTGCATTAAACAGCCGTGACAACTTACAGTTCCGTTCAGAGCCTACTGTCTTCTTCGGTTTCGGTTTTTGTATAATATCATTGAAAAAAAGATATAATTTTAAGCATCGTTGATTGTCTTTGATAAAGTTACTTTTTTTAGGTTGAATATTTGTTTAGAAAGAAAAGAAAATAACAATAAATAAATACATATTTACCTGTTATTGCACAATGGGAGAAACATTTCAAAATTTCGCGCTAATTAACCAACAGTGTAAACAATCTCCGTATACGAACGTAGTAGGCACATAATTATTAAGTATTGTTTATATTGTATTCCATTTTAGAAAGCGCCTATACACATTAACCACGATGTGCATCAGATGTGCCTGAATCGCGATATAATTTTCACACTTTCATTAACAGGAAAGAATTGAATCTTTTTCTATATTTAGAAGTTGCAAAAATACTCTATGGAGGAAGTTTGAAAAACTAAAACCATAACGTAGTTATCGATTATTATTTTACAGACATATAATGTCCCGACATAAAAATGTTCAGTCTCTCAGAGTCTCTGATAGCGAGACTCGAGTCTCCGTCTCTCATCGGGTCTCTCTGGTGTCGCTGAGAGAGACTGTAAAAAAAACTGTTTAGCATCTCTAAACGAGAGACTCGAGTCGCTCATAGAGAGATCCTCATTTCGTGTCCAGTCTCCGAACGAGAGACTCGAGTTTTTTATAGAGATCCTGATTTTTTAAAATTATATGACGAGTTATTACCTTTAATTTGAAAAATCATCAGCATATTCAATGAAAACTAATCATTTATTTAAAGTCTACAAACATTCCAGAGACTCCAATCTCTCTATGAAAGACTTGAGTCTCTCAATAATATTGTCTCGATAGACATGGTTAAAATTTTCTAAGTTCAACATATTTCAAAGATCCCAGTCTTTCTATAAGAAACTCGAGTCTCTTAATTTTTCAGTTTTATTCATTCAGTCTCTCTGTGAGAGACTCGAATCTCAGAATTAACAATTTCATCGTTCGAGTATCTCATACAGAGACTGTGAGACATCTATAAAAACACCTAGGCAATAACTGAGATACTGTGAAAGACTGAGAGATGCTCTTAGAGACGCTGAAAGACTCTGAGAGACTGGAGAGAGACTGAAAATTTTTCTCTAGGGGTGTTGTTTAAACTAGTGCACAGTTTCGTTGTTAGCATCTCGCTAAATGCTGATTATTTTGAGAATGTGGAAAGTTGAAGTATCACAATTTGCAAAAATCTTATGCTCTAGGCTCTAGATTTATTTAAGTCGGCATAGTTCGAAAAAAACGATTTTCTAGTTAGAATATACAGAAGTTTTACTGAAACGGTCATTTACCAACGTGGCTGTCCCAGTGGGTCAAGAAACAACAGGAAGTAACAGTAAAAGTTGTACAGACATTCAATAGCTTAAGAAACTTCGCTGATGCCAAATGATATGCATAATCGTTTCGCATTTATTATTAGTTAAACGCAAGGCCATTAAATTTACACTCCAAAAGGTATTTATTACATAACGATTTATAGTAACGAATGCCCTTATATGAAACATATAATCATGCTAATAGAAAATATAATGTACATAATTACTATTCTTGGCTGAAAAGGATGTTCTAG